CCTCGGGGACGCGCTCTTTCGCATTTCTGGCTGGTACTTATCAATGAACACAGAAGCCGGCTTTTTCACGGCGTCAGTGTTGCATCTACAACCAAAGCAGGTAGTGTCTATGGCTTTGGATCGCGCGTCTGCGTTGCTGGTCGACGCTCGGCTGGACGTGCAGAGCGTGAGCATGGCAGTTCCTCGTTGGAGCGACTTCGTGCTGCTGCACCGCGTGAAGAACGATGGTGGATGGCAAGTGTCGGGCGAGTTGCAGTCGAGCGATGCGAGGTGGCTGAAGACTGCGGAGGTGGTTCTGGCGCCGCGCACGGCCAAGTCTCAGACCGTGACGGTGTGGACGAACGTGACACTGGTGGACGCGGTGTCGTTGCGATCCGTGGTGGTGAGGGTCTCTCACTTGGTCCGGAGCATGCCGGACCCTCGGTCTCTGGTGTCGACTGTGCTACAGCCGATCGTGGTGGAGAGCCGGGGGGACGAGGCTGCGTTGGTTTCGATGGCGGACTTGGGCGCGTTGGGCACGTCGCTGGACAGCTCTGCGGTGTGGTCGGAGTACTGGTCAGTAGACGTGGAAGTTCGCGGGCGCGACATGGACACGTCACTGAGCGCGTTGGTCTTCGACGGCGTGCAGGCCGACGTACGGACGCGCGCTGGCGGTAGCGTGTCAAATGTGTCGAATGTGGCTTTGTCAACGCTGGCGTCAAACGGATCGAACGGGTCGGCAGCAGGCTTGCTGCAGGTGTACCCGGTGGCGTCATTCTCGGGTGTATTCCGTGGTTCTTTGGTGCTGGTGTTCCGGGAGAAGCGGAATGCGGCGCAGCGGGTGGAAGTGGTGCGTCCGCTGGCGATCTCATGGCGGCGTCGCGACCTGGACCTGTCTGTGGCGCTGCGCTCGATGGTATTCGTGAACGAGACGGTATCGTTGCCGCCGAGCCAGTTAGTGTCTGTGGCTTTGGATCGCGCGTCTGCGTTGCTGGTCGGCGCTCGGCTGGACGTGCAGAGCGTGAGCATGGCAGTTCCTCGTTGGAGCGACTTCGTGCTGCTGCACCGCGTGAAGAGCGATGGTGGATGGCAAGTGTCGGGCGAGTTGCAGTCGAGCGATGCGAGGTGGCTGAAGACTGCGGAGGTGGCTCTGGCGCCGCGCACGGCCAAGTCTCAGACCGTGACGGTGAGGACGAACGTGACACTGGTGGACGCGGTGTCGTTGCGATCCGTGGTGGTGAGGGTCTCTCACTTGGTCCGGAGCATGCCGGACCCTCGGTCTCTGATGTCGACTGCACTGCTACAGCCGATCGTGGTGGAGAGCCGGGAGGACGAGGCTGCGTTGGTTTCGATGGCGGACTTGGGCGCGTTGGGCACGTCGCTGGACAGCTCCTGCGGTGTGGTCGGAGTACTGGTCGGCAGAGGTGGAAGTTCCCGCGCGCGGCATGAGACACGTCACTGAGCGCGTTGGTCTTCGACGGCATGCAG